TCAAGACACTTTGTGAGATTGTAAGATGTGTCAACTATAAATAAAATAGTGCTAGTACACATTTGAAATATATTATTGTACATGTCGGCTAAGACTGGTTGTAATGGGAGTATCATAAGCGATATTATGCTTTCCAAGTAGACTTTTTGGATGATGTGGCATACAATTAAATGAGGAAAGAGAGGATGTGGTATCATATCATGATACCATATCATGTTAAGTGTTGTACTATTTTTGTGTCATGCATGACAATTAATAAGGCAACCCAAAATACTAATTTATGATACTATGCATTACGAAGGTAATGATATTAGTATATGATATTGCATATGATACTCCACAATACTATTCAAGATATCTTCCGATATTCCGATAAATCGGCCTATTTACCGCTTACTATTGTCTGACCGATAAGATAAACCAGCCGATAAATTAACCGATATGGAGATAAATCGTCCGATATGCCGATAAACTGGCCGATTTACCCCTTATCTTGGGTCGACCGATAAGTTCCCGATAAGCGATATCCCCAACATAGCTCCACATTACAAAGCCTAGATTGGTTATACTCCCTCCGATCCTAAATACTCTGCGCATAATTTTTGTTGATTTTTCGCCTAATGCCTTCTCATTCCTTTTTTTCTCCACATTTCCCTATTGTGTCCTTGCCACCCGCATCCCATGCAGCCACTCATAGGTCTGGGTTAACTGCGGGGCATGAATCAAGGAGCCATGCAAGGCTGGCTTTGAGGCGATTTGATAGGAAGAGCCAATCAACTGCGTGCAATTAATAAACAGGCAGCATTGTATCCCACGCAGAACCAGGGGCAATTGGTCCAGAAGTATGCATGCGAAGGCTATGATCCTGGGGCTTTGGTATGCGTGCATGCGTGCGAGAAGTTATGCTGAAAGTAAAAAAAAAATTGGAGGAGGTAAGTGACATGGCAACTTCTTATAACCGATTATTGGCTGTATTATTAACCATACTCTAAACCATAAGTACTCCCTTCGGTCTTTTTTACTCCGCACGTTAGCTTTGTCTGAAGTCAAAGTTTGCTAAGTTTGACCAAATTTATATTAGAAAATATTAACTTCTACAACATCTAATAAATATAATATGAAAATATATTCCGTGAATCTAATAATAAATGTGTTGTTATGTGAATGTTAATATTTTTTGTATAAACTTGGTCAAAGTTGGATGAGATTGACTTCGGACAAACCTAATATGCAGAGTAAAAAGGACCGGGGGGAGTATATACTCTAATTGCTAAACGATAAGTAATTGGCTGAAAGAATATAAAAATAGTGTTGTACAAAACCACATGTAGTAGAGAAGGGGTTTCATGTGAAAAGAAGAAAGGTAAATGGTTTTCCTTTTCTTTAAATCGGGCATAACCCCTTTTAATTAACCGAATAACAAAAATATAGAAGGAAAAAAATAACAAAAGTACAACCTTCCACGCCAGCAAGAGTTTAAGGATGCTAGAAAGGGAAAAGTGAGTTCAAACGCATCACCGGAAAACTCATTGCAGATGCTCGTCATCGAAACACTATGGGACAAAAACTCAATGATACCAACCAACAATCATAGAGACAAAAAAATTAAATGAGAGCTCACATCTTAGCTTGCCGCAACATCACCATGAACCGCCGCACAGATCCTTACCATTTTGACTAACATTCTCTGTGAGCATCCTCGCACCTCGCTCCATAGCCCCGCGATCATCAACCTTCGTAAGTCATGCCCAGTAAATAAAAAACCACACATGTGGAGAACACCACTTCAAAAGGTGATCTGGGTAGCTTAAATTCGAAGGTTGTGCAGTTGCAGCAATTATGCGGACCAGCCAAAAACCGAGATAATTAGTAATCTCCATGAGACATTTGCATGACACGGAAGTTCAAATTACCATGACAAGGTGAGATGGTGTTTTCAGAGTCAATCGAGTACAAAACACGAAGCCGTCATCATATGCATTGACCAGATCCAGATCAGACCACAAACATTGTCTGCCTCAAAGGAATGACGAGGTTAAAGGTAACCCGGCAGATTAAAAAGGCGGCAGTGGCCAGTGCCAGTGAGTCACTGCCAAGCTGGAACTACAACCACATGCTCTCTTTTTATATACACCAGTTAATAATCACGCACGTGGTTATAAAATAACGGCGCAAGCAGGCGAACCGGCGGCCGTGACACATGGTCTCGTGTTAGTCAAAAAAAGCTCCCCGTGTATGACGCTGCACGCCAAAGTAGACCGTACCTGCGGTTCTACTCAGGTCGTAGCGAGATATGATCCTGCTCACTGATGATGGCGACGCGAACACCCGCACGTGTTCTTTGAACCCAACCAGTATCTTTTTCGTGGAAAATTTTTCTGAATGATCTTGTACAGGTAGTAGTACAAAACTTTGTAATTTTTTATTTTACCGGTGATCGTTTAGACTTTGGAGCAAGGGTGTAGCTCTTTGGTATTCTTGTGGGTTTTGGCTCTCCTAGAGAACACCAGCAAGTGGAGTTTTTGTTGTGACTCCATTAAGAAAATAGACGTGCTATGGATCGGAGAGGGATTTTGGGTGGGTTAGGGCAGTCACAAACCGGTGTGACAGCGCTCCGGACGCCCGCAATCAATGGAGTTTGTTTCCGGTTTGAGAAAATGCATGTTCAGACAGGTCGGTGGACCGATACAGGTCCGCATTGATGGCAAGACACGTCCGGACCGTATGGTTCTAACGGTTGCGTGCGGTTTGAGAGTTGGTATTGGAGATGCCCTAAAAAAAATGGACGTTTTTATGCAAAGTAAAACTTGATGACATTTACACACATACACTATATTACTTTTTCTTGAATTTCCATTCTACATATATTTTGGTTTGTCATGAGCATTACACATGGCGTCATGTTTTCCAAGGAGGGACTGGGAAGGACCAACTTGGACGACGTAATTTATATCGCTAACTCTCAATAAAATATTGCATATCGCTGTCTCTAAGAATAGACATCTCGATTTTTAGATCAGCCACCACATCCCCAAAAAGTAGGGCAATGCATCAAATGGTAGAGTCCACAATAAAATTGTGGCATATGGTGGGGCAACCATATTGAAATCACATGAACAACTTCTTAGTGGAATTGTGGACTTTTTTTTAGTAAAGGAATTGTGGACTTTAGTGATCGTTCACACACCAAACTTCAAAATGAAATGATCGATTACATACGTGACATACATTTATCTCGTTGAATGGCACGTGCATCGGAGACGGTGCCACCCTGCAACGGCAGTTGCAGCCCCGCCAACCCCCTTCCGACATGGTGACTCCGACTGGCGTTGGCTTCCTCATCTTCATTTCAGATACGGTGGCTATGGGATTGCTCAACCTCAGGCCAGGGAGAAATCTTTGCTCGGCTTGCCGATGCTGGCAGCGGTGGCGTATGCGGATGTTGTTTCCTTCTTGGAGGCGCCGTCAAGGTCCTCGGCCGCGCCCCTCTTCGAGCTCAGGGGAAACCTAGGTCCGGTTCCTCCGGATTGGATGGCGACGGCGTCCTCCTTCTTGAAGGCGCCATCTTGCTCACTCTGTTGTTTCCGTTTTTGGTTCTTGAGATGTTGATGCTCAAGTTGGTCCGGCGTTGCCATTCTTGGTTCTGATTTGGTAGGTTTTAGCTGTTATGTATCCTCTCTTCGGGTCGAGCATCCCTTTTCTTTCTGCTCTGGCCATCATGTTTTCACGCCTGTCTGCGTTCGCGTCTTGTGTTGTTCCCCTATCTGTACTCATTCTATTTCTTCTATCAATGCAATGATACACAAGCTTTGCGTATTCGAGAAAATGCCACATGCATGAAATCTTGTCATTGATCCAATTGGCGCTTGCGGGGTTGATAGTGTGTTCATGATCATGTATATGTCGTGCTCCACGTTAGTGAGATTATAGATTTGAGTGATGTTTGTAATCATCATGTAAAGAACTCATGATCCAAAATCTCAAATTTCACACACAAACTACTCTGTGCATACTTGACAAAGCATCAGATTCGTCCACGCGTTGTGAATTGAAAAGGCGAAATGCCGCAACGAATAGTATACAAAACTCAATGTTGTATGTATAGCATCCCTTCGTTCCAAAATTTTCATTTCAGATTTGTTTAGATATAAATCTAAGATAAGAATTTTATGACGGAGGTAATAGTATACTACTAGCATTTATGTTCCAAATTATAAGACATTTTAAATATTTTAGTAGGGACCACATACGAACTAAAATGAGTAAACAAGCACTCTAAAACACGTCTATGTACACCAGATTTGGAAAAAAGTGAAGACATCTTAAAAATAGGAACAGGAAAGTACTAAATACCGTATTGTTTAGAGGAGATCGCTATGTAGATCGAATCTGAACCAAAGATACTGTAAAAAAGCATCATATGACCCAAAAACAAACCCAGAAAATCTTGAACTTGTGCTCTTTTGACTAGGAGAAGGCCGGTTAGATTCGCTGGCTACGGGAGCACTACTGCACTGCATATGTCCTGGAATCTGGGCAAGATGCACCACTGCTCTGCATATCTTCTGGAATCAAGCCCAGTTCGGCTCGGCTCGGCTCGGCTCAAACTCAAGCTAGGTTCTACTAAATCAGAGCCGCGAGCCGATTGGAATACAGCTCATCCACACCATGACACCACCGCATAAACCACGGCTACAGTCAAACCAACCACGCGCAGCTCCGACCCTTATCACTTCCCGGTGGGCCCGACACACGCCCGACCCCACCCGTCATAAGCGCGCAGCTGCCGCAAGACGCGTACCGTCGTTCCCCGCTCCGCCAAAGCCTATATATACTCCCTCCCGACCCGCCTGCCGTGGTTGAAAATCCAGATCCCCCCTCGCCTCTCGTCCTCCTCCCGGCCTCTCTCTCTCCTCGTCCTCCCGTCGGAAAAATTTCCCCTTCCCACGCCGCGTGAGGGTTTCGTCCTCGAAACCGGCCCAGGGTCCGCCCGCGAGTGCATGGCAGTGAGCCTCCTGGCCAATGACGTGTCGGACCTCTGCATCGGCAAGCCGGCCGTGAGGTCGCTCCCGCTCTCCGCGGCCGCCGGCGACCTCGCCGCCACGGTCCGCAAGGGGCCCCGCGCCGCCGCCGCCGCCTGCATAGCCGTCGGCCCGGCGCGCGGCGCCGTGGTGGGACGCGCCGGCCTCGCCGACGTCCTCTGCCTCCTCTGCTCCTCCCCCGACGCGCTCGCGCGCCCCACCGCCGCGCTCGACCGGCCCGTCTCCGCGCTCCTGCCCAAGGACGGCGCCGGCGAGGTCCGCCGCGTAGATCCCCGTTCCAGGTACTCCCCTCGGCCCTTCCCCTCTTGTTGGCCCCGCTCTCGGTTAATTTACTGTGATTCCGTTACTTTTTTCGTTGAAACGTACGCGTCTTTGGCCTTTGCGGACGCCTGTTCAAGATTGGAGTTTTGCTGAAGGTTCAAGTCAAGATCTAATTGAAAAGCTTTTGTGAGGGAAAGATCATAATTTTGTTAAAAAATATAAATAATATTTTGATGTTTGAGATATGCCATGTTCCTCTCCCCATTGTAGTAAAATAAAAAAAAGCGTTTCAGGAGGAACATATAGGTGCATAATCTGACGATTCTTATCGAATTGCGTGGAGAATTTGGCCTAGAATTGGGATATGCGTGGCGATTCGAACGAGTGGCTAGTAGTATCTGATAAAGAAGGAAGGGGGGCAACTCGTGTCAAATCGTCCGACGCATCTGGGACAATCTTGTGGTGCCAATCCCCGTGTCTTCCTATGCCGATCGCGACATTCCCCATGTCTCCTTGTGAGATAGTAGTCGACAGGCTCGGTCGCTTCCACGGAGATTTTTCTTGCCCTACATGTGGTTCAGAAATTGCGCTTTTTGAACGAATCCTGGACAAAAAAACACGACAACTTTTTATTAAGGATCTTTGATGTCCGTGGCATCGGAATATGCTTACCTTTTTGTTTTTGGCGTTAGATCTGAGGAATTTTTCTCGCCCTCTTGTAATAAATCATGAATTCGATTTTGTTCAGTTTTGCTGATGCATGTGACTGATCTTCCTGCAGTGTCTTGGAAGCTCTTGATGAGATCTTGAGCGGCGCGCAGGTTCTCGCCGTCCCGCTCCGCTCGGGCGGCCGCAAGAAGCAGCTGGGCGGTGTCGCTGGCGTGACCGGCGACTTCTGCTGGCTCACGCAGGAGGACCTCGTCCGCTACTTCCTCAACTCCATTTCCCTCTTCTACCATGTCGCCGCCCGCTCCGTCTCCTCCCTTGGCCTCGTGCGCCCCGACTTCCTGTCGGTGCGGCCCGACGAGGCAGCCCTGTCCGCCGTCCCCCTCATCCGCCGGGCCATCGCCGCGGAGACCGCGGTCGCCGTGGTCAGCGCCGACGGCCACCTCGTCGGCGAGATCTCCACCGCGCACCTCGCTGCCTGCGACGAGACGGCAGCCGCGGCCATCGCCACGCTCTCGGCGGCCGACCTCATGGCATACATCGACTACTTCGGCTCGCCGCCGGAGCACATCCTGTGTGCCATCAAGACCGGGCTCAAGGCCAAGGGCCTTGACGCCATGCTTGAGCTGATGGAGGACGAGACGATGACATCGTTCTCCCTCTCTTCCTCGTCGTCAGACGACGACACCGGCCGGCCGCACCTGAGGCGCCCGTCGTCGGGGAGCTTTGGGCGCCGGTCGACCGAGGAGCCTGTGGTGTGCAGCCCCGCGAGCTCGCTGGTGGCCGTCATGGTGCAGGCCCTCGCCCACCGCGTGAGCTATCTGTGGGTTCTCGACGAGGAGGATGACTGCCGTCTCGCCGGGATCGTCACGTTCGCCGACATACTGAGGGTGTTCCGTGAACAGCTGCAGTGAGGCGGAGATGAGAAGAAAGGCTTGGAGTTTTTGCAGTGGACCTGAACTCCGGAGAGGATTTGCTGTTGGCAGGGCGCTGAGTTGCGCCTGCCTTGTTCGTTTCCTGTGAAATGTGATGAAGATGAACTGTTTTTAATTTGTTCTTTGTTGAGACATGTTCCGAGTTTGCTGTGTTATTTTTGTTCGCTTGGTGGTGATGAATCTGAAGACTTGCTTATGCTTTTGATAATAAAGCAGCATCGTGCATTTGATGCTGTGGTACAATGCTGTTTCTAAGCTGACGACGTAGATACTAGCCGTCCATTTTTATTGGTGCATTTTTAGTTTTGTGAGATTTTACATAGGAAAACAAACAGTGCTAGCATTTTCTGAATCATGAGTAAAACTTGGTATACTCCGATAAACTGAACATCTGGACCGACACACTGGAGTGGCATCTATTTATTCCGATGCTAGAATATCCCACAAGTGATGTTCATTGGATTTTTCAACTGTGGCTGGTGTCGGTCGGATGCCGTGACCTACAGCTACAGGCAACAGCCAAGCCTCAGAGATGGAAGTGTGGATAGATCAGGACAGGAGTGGCATGTTTCTAGCCGTGGAGACGAATGAATGTGCAGTTCCAAACTGTGTATGTACAGATGTTAAACCTGGCAGTCTCATTGTGCTTGTGGCCACTGAATCTCTCAAGTTATGCTTTGCTGTCCATGCTTGCAACCGCTGACACTCAGTGATCCTTGCTGTCGGATAACTCTGGCGATAACACCAGTAGAGGGCAAGTGTTCCTCTGACTAATGTCTCAATAACAAGATTATAATCACTAGACGTAACCTTGAGAGGAGATAAACGAACAAAGAAACTGAGGAGATAACATCGCGGCTCTACTCAGTCCCAGTGCTTCACCTGTTCTTTCTCTATTGTAAGTAGCCAAAAGGATTTGGCCTGCACTATCCAGGGGTGGCCCGACCTAGAATTGCAGGCTTGGGGGTGCCACAGTTTAAAGTTTACCCTAAACACCATCATTATCTCAACAAATGGTCTGAAAAAAGCAACAACTGGAGGAATATTTAGTGTTAGAAGGGAGAGAGGGATTTGGTGGAAATAGTTCGTTGTATTGCTTGAGCCTCGTGGGCATATATATAGGAGTACAATTATCTACTTGGAGTACAAGACAAGCCAGAACAAATCCTAGTCTATCTCGTCTTTCCTACAAACATTATACCCAACATCCCCGCAGTCACAACAGTAGCGACGCAGACGGTGAGACTGGAGAAGAATCCGAAGGCAAGCCGACGGACCCCCCCCCCACCCCCTAGTGGTAACGGTCGATGCATCGCGGAGTCGTGGTTGGAGTGGAAACCGATGAGGTTGCTCAAGCAGGCGGTAGCCCTTTGTGCCGTTTGTCGATATAGCCGAGAGCGTGGGTGGTGGAGCCGTGGTCGAGGTAGCCGTGCGAAGAATGCCGTGGTCGATGTCAAGTCGGGTGGCCGGTGTCGAGGAAGTCGCCATGGAGCCGCAGGCGCAAGGGGCGTCGAGTTAGCATGGGCGCAGTGGTGTCGAAGTAGTGGTGCGCCGGAAAGGAGATGTTGTTGACGACGCGTGGTGGCAGGTTTGCCAAGCCCGGGGACACATCATAGACGAAAGCACACACCGGTGTTGCCAACACTGGGCATGCGTAGACGGACGAAGACGAAGTTGACGGAGCGCCGCACCAGGCTTGCCAGGCCTGGGGATACGTCGTGGACGAAGGCGCGCGGCGGTGTTGCCAGCACCGGGCACGCGAAGACTGGGACCTGCACGAGCTGTACGCCATGTCGAAGAAGCCGGAGAGGCCGACAGAGAAGAACTCGACGACGATTGCGGCGTCCATCGGCACGGGGCCGATGTCACCAACGGTGGTCGGAGTAGATGAAGTGGTCGGGGTAGATGACGGCGACGCTGGCGACAGGCTGGTGCTGGACGAAGACGAAGGGAGGTGGACGGGCGTCGGCGTCGGCTACGGGGGTAGCAGCGGCGGCAGCCGAAGAAAAGCGGCAGCGGCTAAGTTAGGAGCGCCATGGCGGTGCTCGAAATAGGCGAGGAGAACCCAACAGCGTGACGAAGACCGGCGCGGACGATGGTGTTCCCGCGCCAAGGAAGGCGGCGCGGCGCATACCACGAGAAGTCAACATGCACGGACGGCGGTGGACCGCGGGCCGCGGCGCTACGACCCGAAGGGGCGACGCAACGGCGGTGGGCAGGTCAGGGCGACGGTGGAAGACCTCGGGGAGGTCGTAGGGACCGCGAGCCACGACGCTCCAGCCCGAAGGGGCGGTGCAGCGGCGGAGCGCGGGTCGGTGCAACCGCGGGGACGACCTTGGCACGATGGCGTGGACCACGTGTCACACTCGCTACGGCCCGACGGGGCGACGCAGCGGCGGTGCGAGGGTCGATGCAGCCACGGGGACGCCCTGGAGCGGACGGCCCCGGGGCGGCGGTGGACCGCGGGACGCGGCACTACGGCACGAAGGGGCGACGCAGCGGTGACACGGGTCAGTGCAGCCGGGAGAAGAACCACAGGGCGGCGGCGCTACGGCCTGATGGGGCGACGCAGCGGCAGCCCGGTGCTCGATCGGTAGAGGGGCGCGCTGAACTCCGGACAGTCTTCATGGGGCCGGCGGAGGCGCGCGCAACCGACGGGTCAGGTCGGTCGCACGGCGTGGATGAGGCGGATCGCGGCGGCGGATGGGTGATCAATCCGATCGCGCGCGAGGTCGGGGACACCGCTCGATGGAGACGGGGTGGTGGCGGAGTCAAAGATGAAGCTGGCGACGATGGACGGCGTGGGACAACGTGCGAACAAGCACATCAACACCGACACCCTGTCCACCAAAGCAGCGCCGATGCTAGGGCAGCGAGACCCGAGCGACCAATGGAGCAGCGGCGCCCGAGCTCAAGGTAGCCCACGGGCCTGACGCAGCCGGGGACAAAGCCGACGAGGCAAACCGCAGGGCCGCCATGCAGACGCGGCGGAGACGGGTGGCGTGGATCGATTGGTGGGCCGACGCGCGAGCGGGGGCTATAATTAGCCGCCGCATGACGTGAGGCCGCCGGGTGTAGGTGATGCAGGTGTCCCGGTCAGAGCAGGGTGGTGACGGCCGACGCAGGGCGACGGGCGGGCCGGCGCGCGGACGACGGCTTTGAGGGGCCGCCTGTCGCGCGAGGCCGCCGGGTCGGTGAATGTGAGGCCCCGAGACCGATGCGCCAGGTGTCTTTCAGTTATTCGCTGTTGTGCTCTTGTCATTTGCTTGCGTGTTGCATCTTATCATGTCATCATGTGCATTGCATCATCATGTTTTCAAAACTTGCATTCGTCCGGGGTATCCCAATTCTCCCCGTTGTCCGTTCTAAGCCCAGACACACTTGCACGCGCCCGCGGCATGTTCGAAATATTATTTTATAAGTGGCCGGGAAATGTTCTCGGAATGGGATGAGAGTTGAGATGTGGTCTTATTTTAGTGTAGATAGACCGCCTGTCAAGTTTCATCGCATTCGGAGTTCGTTTGACGCCCCAACGGATTACTATAGCGGCAGTATAGCCGGTCTAACGTCGGACGTTTTCGGTCTCCGGAAACAGTTGCCTGGCTGCATCTCTCTTCTCTTCTCTCAACCCAAAGCTTTCTGCACAGTCTGCTGTCAACCGCCAGGCCCTGAAACTCTCTCTGCACAGTGCACCGAACCCCTCGCGCGCGTCCGGAAGTTGTCCCGGACCCGCCCCGAGCAGTCGTCATCGTTGTGTCCGGATCATCCCCAAACATCTACAAAACGTCACCGTTTTCCTTTTTGGACTCCCTAGCTATTTTATCCGCGATCGCCCGATTACGATCGTAGGGACGAGGTAGCCCCTAACCTAGTCTGTGAGGTATATATATACTCCACTCCTAGTCTATTTGGACAAACCCTAAAAATTAGGACCCTTGTCCCATCCCACCGCCGCCAGCATCTCCCACCTCGGGATCCTCCCCAAATCCAAAAATCCTCCTCGAATTTCTAACCGGACCAACCCCCTCGTAGCCGGCGACCACCTGCAGCAGGACCCTGCGCGCCCCTGCCTCCCTTTCGGCCTTCTCCTTCCCTTCTCTCCCTCGTCGCCCTCTCTCTCTCACCCGGTTCCCTCTCTCTTTGGTTCTTCGCACAGGAGCCGCAGCGCCATGGAGCATGTCCGGAGCTCCTTCCTCGACGCTCGTGCCGACCAAGCCCCGACGCCGCATGGAGACGCCCCGCCATCTCCATCGCTCCTGGATCTGGTGCCTCGCCGGGAAACTCCGTCCTCGTCAGGACCCCGTCGCCCTCCTCCGCTGCTGCCTCCCCGTCGCCGCTGCATCACTAGAGAACCAAGGCCATGGCTTCCTCTGCTTCAGATCAAGGCGCCGGCCGGCGGATCCGCCCCCTCTCAGCGTTCACGTCGGGATCCGGCCAATCTTCCCATGCTCCGCCGCCCCGGACCCGTTCCCCGCCGCCGTAGCCGTGCCTGTTCCCGCCTCTGCTTCGAACGGGAGGAGCTCGCCCGTCACCGTTGACCGCGTCCGCGTGGGCTGCGTCCTCGCGGTCCAGTTCCGCCAGCACAAGCCGGCCCGCTGCACTGACTGGGCCGAAGCCGATGGTGAGATCCCCCCCCTTCTGACCTCTGTGCGGTTGGGCCAACAGTTGCAGCCCGTGTCATGTTTTTTTAGTTCTGCGTTTTAGCTATTTTTCCAGGGTTTTGCAGTTTTCCAGAAACACCCTTGAACTTCATGCATTTAATAACTTCACTACCGTGCATCGAATCTAAATAAATTATATATGAAAGTTGCTTAGAATTTTGTCTAGTTTAATAATATGCAACTTTCATCTATGTTTAAAATGTTTAAAATGCTGTTTGTTTAAATTTGCTTAATAACTTGCTAAAATGATTTATTTTATAACTAAATAACCGTAACTCGGAATTTAATAAACTTTATATGTAAATGGGGTAGAAAATG